GGGCTGGGCGCTGCGGGCCGGGCTCCCCCCGCTCGGTGCAGCCGGGCCGGTGTCCGTGTGGACGCGTGGTGCTGTTGACACTCGTGTCATCCTGAGAAGGGGGGAGAAAGGCGCTGCTGTCCCGGCTGGGAGAGGAGGGGAAGGCTTGAGCTCCTTTTCCAGCCGCCCCGGCTTCGCCTCCGCCGTGCCAAATTGCAACTTGAGAGCATCCCTGCGAGCCAGCCTCTCTCCGCCGCCAAATATTCGGAAAGGGTCTTGTTAGGAAACCTCGGGGGCGAGCGGAGCGCTGGCCAGCCTCCCTGCGAAGCAGAGGAAAAAGAAAACAGCGAAGCAGCCAATGTAGAGCGGCTTATAAAGGCAGGAGTTACCCCCGCACTTATTTGGTGGTCAGTTCTTTCCATTACCTGCTCCATAATTCATTCACTTTTACAGTTGATTTATCAAAGACCAAATATTTCTGGTCGTAAACACTTCATCCCTGCTTTTATCTGGCTTTAGATTTAAGAAGCCCCCCCACTCGCCCCCCTTTTAGCGTGCGAGGATCAACGCTAGAGAGGGGTTTGGGCAAACGCGCGGAGTCCCTCGCTCAAAAAAACCCCTGGATGCTCTGGGATCTGCTGAGCCTAAAACCAGAAGAACTCGACCTCGGTCGTAAAAGCGGGGTCCCCCCGCCCCGTGCCTCATGCCCACTGTGCGATCGTGCTTGTGGAATTTCATCAGCGAGCAGAGATAGAGTTGTCATCCCTATTCAGCAGCAGTTTATGGCTCTCCCCTCAGCGGATTTTACAACCCACATTCCACGACCTGCACATTTTTACTTTACAGCTAGCCTGGCTATTTTGCCCTTCCCCCCCCCCCCCCCAAAAAAAATTAATGACTGGATCTTTTCTTCTTTTTAAAAGAAAGAGGGGTGGGTTTAAAAAAAAAAAGGAAGAAGAAGAGGAGTCCAGTGGAATTTGTGGAGGAGAGGCTGAGGGCTGTTGTTCGCCATCCCCACTGCTCTGGGAGAGAATACACTAAACTATAGATATACAGGACATTTACACGGGGGAAAAAAAAAAAAAAAAAAAAAAAAAAAAAAAAAAAAAAAAGAGTCGGGATCACAAACTCCATATTGTAGAATTATTTTCAATCAGGCTCCAGGAAATGTCGGGTGGAGGGGAGAATTAGGAGCTGGGCCCTTTCCAAACCCTGCTCGCAGGCAGCTGGAGGGTGGTGGGGAGCCTGGGGTAAGTGTTGAAGCACTTCTCATCTGCCCACCCCCCCCTGCAAGAGCAGCCCGGGGGTAGCAGTCCCCCTGCCAGCCCCAGAAATCACTGCTGCGCCCAAAACATCCCCTGAAATAATTAAGACCATCGCACACCTTCCAAGCAGGCGCCCTGATGACAGCTTTAAGAGAGGACAAATAGTTGGATTTGTGTAGGTGGCAGATGCCTCTCTCGCCCTGGCTCGACTGGCTTTCTGTATTTATTCTCCAACCATCCGAAATCTCTGGTGTCTAAACGAAAATTAAAGCGGGAGCCCAGAGTCTGAGCGGTGCTACGAGGGCAGGAAACTTTCTGAAGTTTGTTGCTCACTCGGAGACACGCACACGCAGGCACAAAAAAAAAAACACTGCACGCCCTTCCTAGATGAAGGGAAATTAAAGCTGAGGTGGTTTGGGGGCTGAGAGCAGGGAGGGTGAGGTTGGAAAAGCCTGAAGCAGGGGGAGTAGATCCTGCACGTAAAAAGAAGGGCTGTTCCACGTTGTACATTTCCTCCGAGGATTTTGCCCCCCCTGTGGGACTGCCGCGGATGGGTGCTTGCTAGGCAGCACCCAAAGGCCAAAGCAAGAGAGCAACCAAACCAGCAGCCCCCCACAACATCTCTCTCAACCCCTCAGCTGATCGAAATCCGCATTTATTTCCCAGGCACCGACAGAAAACGCGGACGCCAGACCTACACCAGGTACCAGACCCTGGAGCTGGAGAAGGAGTTCCACTACAACCGCTACCTGACGAGGAGAAGACGCATCGAGATCGCCCACGCCCTGTGTCTCACAGAGAGACAGATCAAAATCTGGTTCCAGAACAGGCGCATGAAGTGGAAAAAAGAAAATAAAACTGCCTGCTCCGGCTCCAACAGCCAGGAAAAACCAGACGCGGAGGACGACGAGGAGGAATGAAAGGGGCGAGAGGTGGATGCAGGAAACGTGGCAATCCACGCGAGAAGAAAAGGGGGGGAAAACACACAGAAAAAGACTATATATTAAAATAGATAAATGATAAGTGCATAAATAATTAAAAACCCTAGGAATGATACATTGTGTTTCCTGACACTGAAAAAAATACTACCTATATTGAAGTCTTTTTTTTTTTTTTTTTTTTTTTTTTTTTGTACAATAGAATGACTATCTACCTATTAAATGTGGCTTTAGAGTCAGAATAGACACATTTTTTCTATGTGAGTCTTCCTATAGTACAAGTAATTTGTAAATCTCCGTTTGTACTTCGCTGTGTACTTTTTGGTATGAAGTAACGTGGTCGTGTTTAGCACCTTTAATTTAGAAAATGTGACCTGGAAGTCTGAATGCAAATTATACTTAGCGTATATAGTCCTGTACATAATATGAATGATTATTACGCCTTCTCCCTGTAACCTCTGTGGTTCTTTTCTCCTTGCTATGCTCTTTTGTCTGTGTATATTTTCATCTGGATTTCTTCCTTGTTCAAGTCTCTACGGAAAAAAAAAAAAAGAAGAGGAATTAATATTGTGCTACGTAAAATGTTGTATATCAAAGTAGCAAATTATTTAATGGCGACGCGTTGCTTTTTTTTTTTTTTTTTTTTTTTTTCCCCTTGTCTGTGATTATTATTCTTCGAAATAAAAAGGAAATCTCCAATAATCTACCATCGCGTTGGGTTCCTTGCTCTTTTCTTATTAAAAATAACACACGGGCTTTCGGAATTGCTTTTTCCCGTGTAAGATAAATATATTAAAAGATCCTTTTCGATTAATACATGTCCCGCTCTATCACCCTGAACGTCTCTCTTTTTGCTAGGACAGCCACTCCTTTCAGAATTCGAGTACCCTTTCAATAATTTTGGTGAATATACGAAGCGATAATTGATATTCGGGGCTCCCGAAGTGCGGGCTGGTCTCCTTTCTCTCTCCCCCTGCGATTGCGCTGGGGCTGTTGTTGAAGGTAAGAGCAGAAAGGAGGAAGGTAAAGAAGCCAGAATCAGCCCAAATAGTCTTTCTGCCCCTTCCTTTAATTCTCTTCTTCTTGTAACTAATCTGCAGAAAACCCATCTATTTTGCCGTGCCTTTAGTACATACATATACAGATATATTTAGATTTTCCTCGCCCTTCAGTGACTTTACTGCGGACAGGAACTCTTTCATTAGCACCAAATAACGTTCAGCATCCAAGCGCGCATAAAATAAATGAAAGCAATTAAACGCAGGAAAAAAATCAACAATGCAAAACAAAAGGCGAGTAAATTTAAGCACTTGCGCGGGGGAGCATCCTCCACCGCCCTCTCCCCCTCCCTGTTTATTTACTTTGCCAGGCTGCGCAGTAAAGACGCGGATTCCTCCCGCGGAGGCTCCACGTAATTTACTCCACAAATGCGTTGCGCAAGATGCACAAGGGGAAAAAAAAAAAAAAAAAAGATGCAGGCAGCTTTGGAAGGACTTGGCGGTGGCAGCTTTCCACCTTCTCCCTTCCTTCCCTCCCTGTCCCTTTGCTTTTCCACCACCCACCACCACAGATGGCTTCATGTCCTCAGCGAAGGCGCGCAGGGCATCCTTGCGCAGGTTGGAGCGAAAATAAGATGCCACGTCAAGCATCTGCGCGCCCACGTCTGTAATACGGATTTGCAGTATATGCTGAGCGTAGTGATTATGGGAAGCCCATTATTAAAGGCTATTATGGCTTTTGCACACTGAAATTCCCGCTTGAAGGGAAAAGAGAGGGAAATCTTCCTTTTTCCTTGGTGAAATCCGTGGGTGCGAGCTCTGCGGGAGCTCTCTGTGCACAGCGGGAATGAGGGGGGCAAAAAAAAAAAAAAAGGGGGAGGGGGAAGCAAAAAAGCAAAAAAAGAGCAAAAAAACCCCAGCAGCGATTCCAGAAATTTCCCCCCTCGCTGCTGGACAGCAGCGGCCCGGCGCCCCCCCCCCCCCCCCGGCACGGAGCTCTGCGGTTGGGGGGCAAGGGGGAATTGAGGAGAATTCCGTGGAAAAAAAAAATTAAAAAAGGCAAAGCAAGTCACAGCGACGCTTTAATCCTCCAAAGCCAGGGCAGCGGTTTACCGGCGGGGTGACCCACCTTGCCGGAGCATCCCCCCCCCCTTTCCTTTCCGCACTATAGCGGGGGGACACGGGCGGGGGTCCGGCGGCTCCTTGGGGGGGGTTGGTGGTGGTGGGGAGCCTGGCAGGCACGAACCCCGCTGGCTCGGCTCTGCCCAGGGCATGGGCACCCCGGCCACGCTTTTATTGCCTTTATTGGCTTTTTTTTTTTTACATTATCCACCCTGAAATCTGCTAATTGCTCCTTTCAGCAGAAAGGATCTCAATTGCTTTTTTTTTTTTTAAAAAAAAAAAAGACACCAAAAATCCTGCCCGAACCCCACTGTTTTACTGTGCCTTTCCCCATTTAAAAGCCAACCCCAACCGCAAGCTCTTTATTCTGGGGGGGGTGTTATTGTTCATAGCCCAACGTGTGAGGCGTTATTCGATAATTTCTCCCCAACCCCCCC